AGGCAGAAAAATGGCCCCCCCAAGGATATTCACATCCTAAACCCCAGAACCTGTGAATATGGAACCTCCCATGGCAAAAGGGACTTTGCAGATATGATTAAGGTTAAGGACCTTGAGATGGGGAAAGTATCCTAGATTATCCAGGTGGGCCCAGTCTCCTTAAAAGTAAAAGAGGAAATCAGAGAGTCAGAGGCAGATGTGATTAGGGAAGAGAAGTCAGAGAGAATCAGCCTTTCTGTCTTCAAAGAAGGAGAAAGAGGAGGATGAGCCAAGAATCGTTGGTAACCAATAAAAGCTGGAAAAGGCAAGGATGCTCCCCTAACCCTACTGTCACTTTGATTTTAGCACAGTGAGACTTGCTTTGGACCTACAAAATTGTAAGGGAATAAATCTGTGTTGTTTAAGCTGCTAAATTTGTGGTAATTTGTTATAGCAATGATAGAAAACTGATATAGAGTCCACAGCTCTTCACTAGAGTGAGCCGAAAGTATGGTGAAGAAATGGTTTCCGGAAGAGTTAATGACACACAAATAAGCAAATGTCAAAGATAAACATCCAAACTGATTGTGTGTGTGTGTGTGTGTGTGTGTGTGTGTGTGTGTGTGTGTGTGTGTGTGTGTGTGTTTAAAGCTAGATATAGTGGGCTCTTTTAGTTATTAAAGAAATACATTTTCATTGAGGGGTGGTAAGTGTTCCTTGAGGAAGATGTATAATTTTCTGCAGATGAGGGTAGATGACCTCAAAAGTCTAATGAGAAGTTCACTGTGAATACCATGTACATCTTCTCCCAGTGGTAAAACAAAGGTGCTGATCATCAGTGGACCATTGGCCATAAGAAGCCATAGGGAGGAATGGCCCGGATGCAGGCCTGCACACTAGAACACAGTAAGCTTTTATTCTCTTTCCAGTACTCTGTGCTGCTGAAAACATACCTAAGGAGACAAATGGATTATTGGGGCAATAAAAGCCAGAGATCTGTGGTGTGAGACTCATTACTTGTTTTTACTGTCCAAATAATCAGAAAGAGTAATCTGTAAGTATTCTTTCATAGTGATATTGGAAAGGAATTCTTCTTCCCCCTTCTCAGCCATAAAAGGGTACCCATGAGGATACATGGATTGCATCATGAATTTTTCCTTTGTCCTCAGCAGGATCCTGCTTTTGTGTTTGCTTAAAGTGGGATTTATGTGAAATAGACTCTTATTCTCTCTAAAAGTTCATCTACAGGTACAGATCAAACAATAACGGTGGGGTGATAAAGTACCTCTCCCCTCATGATGCAATGAAACTGCCCCAAATGAAAATGCTTCAAAGTTCTTTTCCATTTTTGCTTTCCATGAAATACAAATCATTTGCTGTTTTTATTTTCCTGCAGCCTTGCTCTTTTTGCCCCTTCTTTATTCGTGTTCCTGGTAATGAGGTGTTGGTTTTGAGGAGCTTTATACAATATTGCAAATTCCCAGAATTGGCAAGGGCTTCAAGAGTTCATCTAATCCTCCTCTTTGTTCATCTAATCTGGGGCTTTGCCCAAGCCAGCCAAAGAATACCATGTTCTCCATACTCCCCAAGATCCCCCAGTGTGGAGACTGTTAAGGGCTGAACTGTGTTCCCCCAAATTCATATGCTAAAGTCCCAACCCCAGTATCTAGAATGTAACTGTATTTGGAGATAAGATCTTTAAAAAGGCAATTAAGTTAGGGGTGAGCCCTAATCTAATCTCATCTGACTAGTGTTCTTACAAGAAAGGGAGATTAGAATAGTCACAAAGAAAGGGAAGACCAGGTGAAGATAGAGTCAGAAGACAGACATCTACAAGCCAAGGAGAGAGGTGTCAGAAGAAACCCATCCCACTAATACCTTGATCTTAGACTCCTAGCCTCCAGAATTATGAGAAAATAAATTTCTATTGTTTAAACCACCCAGTCTATGGTATTTTGTTATGCAGCTCTAGCAAATTAATACAGAGAGCAAACCCATTAGTCCACTTACTGTTAGAAGAAATCTCCTCATGTCCAGTGTTCAAAATAGTGGCCTTTTTATTCTGTCTTTCATGCAAAGGGTAGGAAGTTCTTTCAAATTACCCTGAATATATTAGGGGAAGCTAGAGTGCTAGATGTAGAAGGAGTGTGGAGATTATTATTTCAACCACTTTTTACAGATGAGGAAACCAAAACCCAAAGAGGTTGAGTGAGTCTTCCAAAGTCACACTGCAAGGGGCCAGTCAAGCCCAGGAGATGGGCACAGGGCCTGGACCCCTGGCCCACTGCTTCCTAACTCATGCCAGAAAAGCTAGAAATTTTTTTAGAGAAACAATGTTGGAAGACATAATATGAATCAAGTGAATTAGGAGCAGAGGATGGGAGCACAGATCACCTGTATATGGCACTTATTTCCCGGGATAATAAAAATTATTTCCCAGGATAATAAAAATTTTGCAGCATTTTAAATGGTTACAAAACAAACAGTTCTGGACTCATACTTCATAATCAACTCAGGGGATCCCCTGTATATTTGACAATCGTATTACATTATCTGCTATGACAATTTTCTTCTTTTGGGAGTTGGAGGGCATTACCATGACCTCCCCTGCCCTGGTTAACCTCACAAGAGGACACACCATGTTGAGGAAACCCGGGCATGCTTTCTTGCCTCTTATGGTTCATCCGCAACTCTTCTGCCCTCCATCTCTCTCAATCTCTCTCTCTCTCTTTTTTTAACCCAGGACATTTTATCACACATCCATCTTTTTCTAGAAGCTCTTTGAAGGACAGAAAGCTCTATATAAATCATAAAATAAGGAAAGATACAATTACATTATCTTACCCTTCTTTCTCTCTTTTTTTCTCACCAATCCTTCAACTTCTCCCCGGTAGTGGCAGGCATCACACATAAAACTCAAAACACTAAATTTCTTCCCTTTGGGTCCAGTTCTCTCCCCTGGAGCACAGTGAATCTGTCGAGTTCCCTGCACACTGCTGAGCACCAATGCCGCTGGCAGCCAAGGCAGGGCCTGCATCAGCGGATGGTGTCGATGCCTAGGGTCGCTGCCCTGCAGAAGCTAGGAAGCAGCAAGCGCAGGCAAAACCTGCCAGTCTGGGGTGAGATTAAGACCATTTAATAGAGAACAGAAGCAGGGGTCAGAGCTGAGCTGGATTATGATTTGTCTGGCTATCAACCAAGAAGATTTGCCCTCTGTGAACCTTCTGACTCTTTAGGTTGGGGTTCTCAAAATGAAGTCTGTAGACCACCTGGGTCAGAATCACCTAAGGCCATGTTAAAAACTCAGATTGCTGAGCCTCACTCTAGACTTAACAATTTTAGCAGCTTGCCAAAATCAGGAGTGATTGCCTTTAGGACACCAGCTTGCTGTGTTTGTCTTTAAAAAGCAATAGGATGGACATTCTAGAATATCCAAGCTGTTTTAGTTCAGGGGATTACTTTTACTTTTGACAAGTGTTAAAAACATTTATGAAATCAGAATCTCAGGGCTGTGGCCTTGGGGTTTTACATGTTCATTAAGTTCCCCAGTGATTCTTTGGCTCACTGAAATTGGAAAACTCTTTCCTGTAGTTTTCTTTCATAATCCTTTCAGTTGATCATTTGGGGAGAATAAAAAAAAGGAAGGAAGAAGGGAGGGAGGGAGGGAGAAAGGAAAAAACCTCTGTCATCATTTTGGTCTGCCCTTTTCAATTTGGTCTGTACTTGCCCTCTTGGGCAGGTGTACTATTACTCCATATTGCTCTATCCAGAATCCAACCTTCTCTCTTGTGTGGGACAAACCATGCCCTGTGTATTGTATTAACGGGACACAGGGCCTGCATCTTGAGGGCAGCTCAAGCATAGAAAGCTCTTCTGGCCCCACCCCAGTAGCCAGGCTTGAGCACGTGACCACACTTCACCATGTGATACTTCCCCCACTGGGATGAGGGAGGAAGGTGAGCAATGGGTTTGTAGCGGCAGCAACAGCATCCTTGCAGGAGCAATGATATCTTGGCCAGATCCCGTTGCCCAAATATCATCCATTTGATAATGGTAGTTGATAGTTAGGCAATTGAAAATGACAGAGAGCACTAAGCAAGTCACTGCAAAATTCTATACTAACCCTGGTTACACTCCTGGTGAGCTGCCTGACTTCAGGCAAGTCTTCTTCCTTTGAGGCCTCATCTGTATCACTTATAACAAGGAAAATCATTGTCCCTAAGCTGCTTAGTAGAATTGCAGTAAAACCCAAATTTTAAGTATGTGTGTGCTTTGTAAACTGCAAAATACAATGGAAATTATTAGTGGAAAGTGAATTTTTAATAATTTATACCTGTTCTCACAGAAGAAAAAGAATTTCCACTCAGCAAGAAGTATTTTTAGAAAAGATTCTTGGTTTTCATGTGTGACTTTTAAATTTAACATCCAACTTGCTGATTTTTAACATCATGAATTTTTATATTTTGCTAAATCCCTGTTGTTTCATCTGCTATCAGGCAGGCAAATTCCCCAAAGGAATGAAAGCATTAAATAAAATGCTATACACACTACAGTAAAAACTTCCATCCATTTCCCAACAGCTGTTGCTTTTTAGAGAAACCAAATATTTTTGGAAAGGGCCACAAACATTCTGGATTCAAACCATTTATTAGCTTTGGAAACATAACATGCAGTCATCTTGCCAGTCTTAATCTTGCAGTTCCATTAAACACACCACAACTGCATCATAAAACAGAAAAGGGAAGAATTTATAAACAAATAAAGCAGTTAATTGGGGCAATAAAATAGCAGTTCCCTCCCAAGTGTGGAATTGCTGTGTTTCAACCTACAGAACCCTGAAATCTGCTTGTCAGGAGTCTAGTGACTAGCAGAGCCAAACATGGATCAAAGATTTCAGGACTGCTCCTGGGTCGGCAATGCTTACCTCTGCCACCATACCCTCAGTACCTCCTTGTCCCTCACCTGGCATTACTGCAAGTCTTTCCAAGGAGCGGAGCAACTCCAAGCACAGTACTCTCCCAATCTCTGTTCCATAGCTCGGGTTCCAGTTGAAGAAGGAATCACTGGGAGATCCACAGCTATGGCTGCATCTGCAACACAACACTCAGGTGGAGGGATGGAGACATCTTCTCAGATGTGCTTCTGTTTCCTGGGCAGTGCAGTGACCTAATTGTGCTGTCTCTCTTGTGCACTGCCAAGACAAAAGCAAGCTTTGGAGCCATATGAACTGGGCCAGAATCCTACCATTGCCTCTTGCCTACCTTATGGCCATGAGCAAAAGCAAGATTTTTAACCTGAGTTTCATTCATTTATTCATTCAACACAGATTTACTGAGCACCTACTACATACCATGCTCTGATCTTTAGATTTTTTAGCAGTTACATGGCAATGCTAAATCCTTACTTCAGAGAGTTGTTGTAAGAATCAAATGAGAAAAAAATATATGTATGTGCATATATATATATATATATATATATATATATGAGATATGTATGTATATACCCTTGCAGATAGTATGTGCTCACAAATATTCACTCCATCCAAGTAGCATATGAGAATTATATTGTGTGCGCAATTAAAATTATATCTTGCATAGTATTGCTTTTATTCAAGAAAGAGACAGAAAAGAGTTAGGGTCCCCGCCCCCCTCCATACATGAGGCCTGGCTTCACTCATGTGAACTGCAGAATAGTCAGAGGGATCGCAGCTCCCACTCGGAGAGGCCCTCTGCGGCAGTGGGATGGAGCAGAGCCAAGTGGTCCATGTGGGGAGTGCACTCATGACCTCTGCCTTGTTAACACCCAGGACCTGCACTCTTTCCCACCCCTGGAAATGTTTACAGTCCATTTATGTAATCAGATGCGTGCACACACACACACAAACACACACAATCTAGCAGGAAATTATGCCTCTTTGTAGAGGTCTGGCTTTTAGCATGTTTTGTTTAAACTCTCTAGAGATAAACTGCCCTTTACTGTTGTTTAATAGCCCCCATAATGCATAGGCGAAAGCTATGCCCAAAAGATGCTCTATTAATGACTTATAATGCTTATGAACGGTTATTTTCCTGACTTAAAAAGAATGAGATTAGTATATGGTACTCTTATAAACTCTTTCCCAGGTCCTAAGTCAGCCTAAGAGAAGGGAAATACATGGCAGTCAAAATCTGTGTGAAACCTATGTAAATGCTTGCTACTGCTTGAAATCTTTCTTAGACACAGCAACTGCATGTGGGCCTGCATTAGAAAAGGTCACCTAGGACACTATCGATTGGAGTTAGAACCCAATATTAGCCCTAAAAAGGAGGCAGGGGGCCGGGGGGGCAGGGGGGATGGGGGAAAGGAAAAGGACTTAATCTCTTCTCCAGGTTAGTATCTTAAATACTTGTAATTCAAAGATTTCCAGGCTGTGCAGGCAACATGTTGGGTTAACTGGTTTCCAAATATACTGGGATTGCTCAAACCTAAATGAACCTTTTATTTTTGGAATCATATGTGGCTGAAGAGATTGAACCCATGTGTCTCATTCATTTGTACACTGGCTGTAAAAACATCTTTAAGTAATACTCTGGAAAAGATCCGTAAGCCTTAAGCAAGCATACCATCTCCTTCCCCTTCAGACCTACCGAGGCACTGTGTGGGTGACAGTGCCTTCTTGTTTCTAAGCTTTGCCTGCTCCTCCTGTCTCCTCCTACATGTAAACAAAACTCCAGGGAACCGGGAGTCATTTGGAAGGCAGTCGGAGTGCTGTCCTTTCATCAGCTCACCTGGTGCTCTAATAAAACATCCAAGAAGCCCACATCTGGTAGGTAATAAAATCCAGAGCAGAATGAAGATGCCTGGCTGCTAACGTGCTCTAGCCACCAGACAAAGCCCTCGCGACATTTTTTTTCAACCAGTGCTGATGCCAGTATTTTAATGGGGCAAAGCTGAGGGCCCTCTATGTATTTTTCCTGCATTGGGTTCACTGGCTATGCTGCTCCCATGCCACTAAGGGTTTCCTCCACAGCACCATCAAACCGGCTCACAGCCCAAACAAGGAAAATGTGTCTTACCATGACCGAATCAAACACAATAACACTTATCTCATACTCCCATTTCCCCGGGGTGGTGGCACTAAAGGGTGGATCTTCTTTTTTCTCCACCTCTTTTTAGTCTCCCAAATAAAAATGAGTGTTAGATCTCTTTGCAGGAAAAGACAGCTATGCCAACCACAGAGGACATGTTCTGACTGTCAACAGTGATGGATGAGATTCTGTACATTTAATAAATATAAATGTCATAATCCAACCATCAAATTTAATAAACAAAAATACCACAAACCATCTTTCCTCTCTGCTGCATGTGCTCCTTTAAAGCTGATAACATTAGAACACATTTTGCCCAAGCTATAACCTCACCATCTGCCTGGCTCAACTTCTGAGGACTTGGTACGGGCTAGAAAGAAAAGCAAATGACTTCACACTGAGAAAAAAACGAGGGACGGGGGCCTGGATGGTTTTTTTCACTCCTCCTTTTCCTTCTGACCTATTTGTTAACTATAGAACCAGATGTAACTATCTGAGCATAAGTTCAACCCTCAAGAATTATTAGAGAGGCAGATCGTGGAGAACATTTTTTTGCATGAGTTACACGAACAAAACTCAAAAGGCTGCTTCCCCAGCAAGCTGCGTTGTGCGTTTCAGGGCTTTGATTTGAAAATGTGGAGATGAGATGCAGACTGACTCATTAAGGATGCACTTTCTTTTGATGGCAAATTAATAATAATCATAACCACAACAATAAACACATACCAAAAAAACAGTTTCATTCCTTGGCCAGATTCAAAGCTGTAACTGGAAGGGGTTCTTTATGTTGAGCTCAGGAGACCTCACTGGCTCAGAGAGTGATGTAAAGGGGGAAACCAAGTCCAAAGAACCTTAGAAAATGTCTAACATGAAGAGAGAGAGAAAGATATACCAGATCTAATTTTTTTCAATTCCCTTTATTGAGAGCCTGCTATGTCTTAAGAACTTTAGATATGTTTTTACAACTTAATCTCATTGAGTCCTTTCAAGAACACACACCAAAAGGTACTATTAACCCTATGTAGTGGCCGGCGTGCATAGAGGCTCTATAACGTGCTCAAGTTTACAACAATAGAATGGGGAGAGCTGGTTTGACCTACTCTGGAACTGCTACTTCTTCCTCTCTGGGGTACCTCAGTTTTTCTTTGGGGAGCTGCTCCTCCCTCCCTCATGTAGTTTGACCCCACCTCCCAGTTGCAGGATTCACATTTATCACATCTGGCTCCAAGCCCACATTCACAACCACTATGCCCTGGTGCCTGGGAAGTAGATTCAGATGCTCCAGCAACACTGGTAGTTGGGGTCGTTGTCTGCCATAGAAAGCACATTTCTTCATTCCTAAAAATCCCCAAGGTATTCAAGCTAAATGCAAAGGGACCGTGGGTTTCAGGACGTGTCTATTGGTTGTTGCTACTCTCATGCCTTCAGAGATGTCCAGGCAGCATCTTGTGCAAATATCTGCACAAGAGAAATCATCTGACTGCTTCAGAGAATGGTGTAGTTTTCTTCTCTTTAGTAACCAGCCCACACCCTTCAGTTCTTCAAGCCTCACATCGTACACAGCATGTTTCCTAATGAAGCCAGGGAAGCTGAGTGGCCGTCTTGCCCCCTGCTGATTCCATGTGTCCAAAAGTAGGCTTGGGTTGTCCAGGGCCTAGCACATGTCTTGGTGACTAGCAGAGTAACTAGTTCTGCCCTAAGACAGAACTAACCCAGCAGGGAGGAGGAAGAGAGGGGCAGTCTGCGCACATTTATCCATCTAGGCAACCTCGCTGGAAACCCTGAGCTCCTGGGTTCTTTAATATATAAAACCCAGAAACCTGCAGTACTGGGCAAGACAAGAGGCAAGAGGATGGAGCCTGAGCAGAGGAGTTCTTTTGCTTGAGTTGAAATTTCTCTACATTCCCTTGGTAGACAATGGGAAAAAAATGCAATGGAAAAATCTCGAGATTTTGCTACCAAATTACTACTGGGACATCACATTGCAATTGAAAAATTTTATTTGGAGCTGGGTAGGATCTCAGATTGTAAAGGGTCTCTTTCCCTTCTTAGTTTTGATTATAAGGCAAGTCATTTTAGCTAGTGTCACAAAAATGCAATTAACTTCAGTGTAACAATTATTGTTTTTCCTCTTGACAGAACTCTCAGGCAGTGGGAAGCAGCAGTACTTGGAACAAATATTGCTGCTTACCAGAGATGATGACAAGGGTGGGCAAAACTCTGCAAGAAACGTCCCTGCCCTGAAAGCAAGGAATCGAATTTACACAAAGGCCATGGTCAATGCTGTAGTTTGGAGACTTCTACAAATTTCACAGCATGATTTCATACCTTGAAGGCCAACGTTTACTATTGCAAATTTCTGCCTTCCAGAGTCTTCTATGATTAAAAGAAGAAGAAGAGGAAGAGGAAGAGGAGGAGGAGGAGGAGGAAGAGCTGGGGGAGGAAGCTCAGAAACCAAATTTTCCATCCCTAGTGCTCTCCTCCCCAAAATGCATAAAACATTTGCAGAAGTTGGAAAGTAAGGAGGGAAAAAGATAGAATGCCTCCCTTCTGTTCAGATCTGTCCTTTCTTACTTGCCAATACCTTTAAAAAGAAGTAAGAGATGCAAGGGATCCTGTGGTCTGCTGGAGGAAGGCTACCTCTCCTCGGGGCCATATTCCTGTTAGCACCTAAGTCAACAGAAGAATCTGGCATCTGTTCTTAATTATCCTTTTTAATTCAGAATACTAAACAATGAGTTCAATACTCTGCCTTCTTAATTGAACCTTAAAATACCCATGTTGTTTTAACTGTCTTCCTTGGGCTGTGGAATCCAGAAAAGTCAAGTGTGCTCCCCAAAGATGCATAGCAAGGGCTTAGAAATTAATCCTGGACATCTGATTTGTTTCTAACTCTACATGAGTTAACAATGGCTGACTAATAGCAAACTTGTTTTGAAAATGCTTGCTAGCTATTTTTCCATCACTAGATATTACCTGGTAGTTTGCCTCATAAATATTGTATCATTATGATTCCTAATATCTCTGTCAGAGTTCTTAACTTTTATGATAATAGGCAACTTGGAAACACTTTGCCAGACATTAGGCCATAATGTACAAAATAAGTGACTTACAAATGGGTTGT